CAGACCATTACATGCAATTAGTTATTCTGGAATGAAAATCCTTTTTTTTTCTTTTTGTTGTTTAAATTTGGAGGAGCAAATTTCGAGTGTCCTTACCACCAAGGGCAGACCGGGCAAACAACACAAACTAAGTATATAAGCAAAATCAGCTTACCTTATTGTAGTGGCCACCATGTTGTTCGTCAAGCCAGCCCAAAGTGGTCTCTCACCCCTGCTCCTTTCCAATCCTGTTTGTGACGCCAATTTGTGGTGGCTTCTGCTGCTGCTGTGAGAAATCACTCACAAAGTCTTGAGGTTTTGATGCCTTCCTTCCGAGAAGCAGACAGGATGCCTTACTTTGTTCCATGACCAAAAAAGGCCCCATCATATATTTTGTCTAATATCCTAACAGGACATGCAGCCTCACCATATGTCTGCCCCATTCTATCCTCATACAGACTTCTATACCATCCCAATGCAGGCCTCTCTGCACACAGGCAAATACATGATTATAATAGTAGAATAACTTGATGCGTAAATTGTTATATTCACAGTGATTATACTTATATACTCATATTTTGACCAATAAAAATCTTCCACAGTAGTCATGGATGTGGAGGCCTTATACACTAACATCAATCATGATTAAAGGCCTTCGAGCCCTGAGTCACTATTTAAAATCTGGGTTAGTGGATGGGAGTCCCCCAGCAGAATTTATCCTGACACTTACAGAATGGATTTTGAAACGATGTTTTTGTGTTTGAGGATAACTTCTTCCAACAGGGACTGCAATGGGAGCATGTTTTGCAATTTTTAGGACTTTGGGAGGAGGAGTTTGTCTTCAATTCCACTATTAATCGCTTCTGTAAGGAAATAAAATGGTGGATCAGATTTATTTGATGACATCTTGCGTGGCTTTTGAAGAAAATGAAACTGAATTGTCATGCATTTTTTAATTCTTTAAACACAGCATTAAGTTGAGTCTTGAAGACTCACCAACAGAGGGTTACACAAACAATACTCGACAAGCGACAAGGGCAACATGAGGGCTACTTAGACAATCGAGTCACATGACAAGAACCAACCAATGGGAAACAAGGCACATGACTACAACAGCCAATCACAGAGCAGAACGCAAGACAAGATAATAAACCAATGAAAGCATGACACGAGCAAAAGAACCACGTGCCAGGATCACATGACAGAAACATGAAACATGGCTAAATATCAAAATAAAGACAAGAAAACCTAAACAAGAAACAAAACCCAAAAACCAGCGTGACAGCTGGATGTCTTCATTAGGGCTGGGTAAAAAAATATTGATATCTCGATTATAATCTATTCTCATTTTTACGAAACAATATCGATTCTTAAATCCCAAGAATCGATTAGTCTGGCCTGTTTTCAGTTAATGGATGGAACATTGAAGGGCACCTCCCATCCAATAAATCACAATAAGCATTGTGCTTTGGTACTTTTAATATGAAACAAAGTCTCAGATTTAAAATTGTTCATGAATGCCGTTTTGGCGCTGTTTTATGTGGACTGGAGTGATCGCTGTACCGCTGCGCGCCTCGGTTCAATAAAAGCGGCAGCGCGAGACACGCGTGAACTGATCATCTCCTCCATATTAATACCAGTTTCAGCACAAAATAATCATGACTAAACATCCAAAGCTAAGTTAAAAGAAAGAGTACAACTTTACAATCTGTATCCTGTCATGTAATCGCTCAATCAGTGTTTCCTCCGCACAAAGACGTCAATATAACGGCTTGTAAACAATGCCACGTAACGTCACATTTACCTCAGAATCTCATTAGTCAGATAGAAAAATTAACTGTAGAGAGGAGCATTTTGCCAAATATATGCACCATATAATATATTCATAACTTTTACTGTTCTTCAATGTTCTTCAACAAATTGAAGTAGAAATATCATTATGTAATTAACTTATTTTATTATAAAAATTTCATTAAGTGTAATTTAAGCAGTTGTATATCCTAAAAAATCAGTCAGTTTTAACCTTCAATATTATAGTAATGTAGTACCAACTGGACATGTGTATGTTTTACAGCATTAATTAAGAGATTATTTTTCCTTGAGAAAATTTGTCATGTACTGTACCTGATATATATCCAAAATAATCGATATTCAATCGAGTCGAATCGAATTTGGAATCGAATCGAATCGCAAGCTTGTGAATGAGAATCGAATCAAATCGAATCATGAAATTTGTGTCAAAACCCAGCCCTAGTCTTCTTACATCACTTTTTAGAAAGGACACAGATCGTAACACCATCCTGCATGCAAAGAGCTTTCACCCAAAGCATTTAATGGAAAGCATCCTGTTGGGTCAATTTCAAAGACTAAGACAGATATGTGATCAAGACTCGGACTTTAATCGCTTGGCCAGAAATATGACCGATCGCTTTGAACAGAGGGGATATCAAAAAGGAGTGGTTGATCAGGCTTTGAATAAAGTGACACAATTACAACAGAATGACTTACTTAAAAAGAAAAGTAAGAAGAATAGCTCAACACGACCATACTTTGTGATGTATTATAGTATTGTGGTACATGAAATCAAACGTATAATCACTAGGAACTGGGGCATTATTCAAAGTGATCTGAGTTTACATAAGATTTTTCAAGAACCTCCAATTGTAAGCTTACAGAAAGGCTCCCACAATCAAGGAGAAAGTTATTTGCCCACTATGAAACAGACAGCATGGTTGGATAGAGGGATACAAGGTGTTTAATTGTGGACATTGCAATCATTGTGACAATGTAATTCAAATCAAATAATTTGTAGATGTCTGCACAAAGAAAATGTATTCGGTTAGATCCTTTATAAATTGTAAGAGTAAATATGTAATCTATAGACTTTAATGTCCATGTAATTTCTTCCACTTGGGTCAAACTAAACGTAGGTTGCAAGATAGATTAAGGGAGCATAAAAAAGCAATTTGTACAAGAAACAAGGACTATCCTATGGTAGTGCACTATGCATCTCTTCATGATTCTAACCCAACTACTTTAAGAATTATTGGTTTAGAAACAGTGTTCTATTAGAAAGGATCTATTAGAAAGGGGGATAGACAACAAAGGCAAAGACTTTTGGATATTTCTGTTAAAAGCTACCATTTTTTCCTGGGTGGAATGAAGAATTAGACTTGACTATTTTTGTGAAACCATTGCAAGTATAATTTTTCAAAAGTTTGTTTCTTTATTATATATATATATATATATATATATATATACAGATATATACAGATATATATATATATGTGTGTGTATATTTATTTATTTATTTTCCTTTTTCTCTCTTGCTTTCTCGCTCCTTTATTCTTTGCAATGGTCCCCCTGTAATGTTTTGTTTGGTTTCTCCCAATCTCAAAGATGAATTATATCTACACCTGTCATTCATTTGATACCTGACACACTCTGAGGAAGGCTGAAATGCATCAGTGTGCCGTTTTAGTCATTTTAATGTTTCTATTGATATGGCTATAATTTATTACAACCTTTTACTATTAGGCCACACCTCTTCCACATTTTTGATCCATCTACATGACACATTGATCTCAATGTTTTATGTTTTTGTCTCTGCATGTAAATTTTGGTTCATTATTAGGTTCATTCTTTCTGCTCTGAGATATAAACCCATTCCACCATGTTTTGCAACCTCATTGGTCTGTTATTGCTGGCTCATCTTCAGGAGCATATAAATCTTTGTCTCAGTCTACAAATGATGGCTACATTTTGATTTATTGTAGACTATTTTGAGCTTGCTCTGTGTACAAAATCAAGGGATTTCTGAATGAGATCACAGTAGCAATAATTCTTCAGACAAATTAAATATTAGAAAGCTACAAAGGTGATTTCACATTGAATAAAAGATTAGGAAAAAATTTTCTATTCGTTGTCTTTTTGCGGTGTACAATAATGCAGTGTCTAAGTGATCTCAATTCAAATATGCTTTTGTTTGGAAAGAGGTGGTTTAATTAAGGTATCTGTGCTGCTGTACATTAGCTGCTTTTATTCTATAAAGTGGAATTCCCTTACTTAGAATTTTATTTTCCATACATCTCAACATGTACAAAATACACAAATCTATTTTGTACATTCGTGATCATTACTAAGATGTTTAAAGGTCGTATTTCACCTAAAAATCTAAAGAAGAAAAAAAAAAGAAATGTTGCACTAAGGTTTAATATTTTATATTATTTACATGAAAATTAGGCACTTGGAACAGTTCAATAAACAAGGAGTTAAGGGGTCAGTTCATCCAAAAATGAAAATTCTCTTATCAATGTAGCAAACTTTCATGCATCAAAAGAAAAAAAGTACAAAAAGGTATAGTAAAAGTAATCCATATTAATCGAGCAGTTTAATCAAAGTCTTATGAAGAGACATTGATGACCACATTGATGAACAGATTTAGTTTAGGATTTTATGCATACAGTATGTAAACATTGATCAATGAGCATACAGCATACAGTTCATCAAATGCTGTATCTTTAACATGGAAGCTCAACAGTGCTTAATGCTCGAACCAATTAGGTTTCTCGCATGTCAGTTGAGTTATACCATATTTAATTAACTCTGTTTATATGAATTTATCAGTATTTATAAATAAATTAAAACTGTTCATCATATGAAGGGATTGTGTCTCCTCTGATGGCTTTGCTTAAACGTATTCATGAGGGTGAGTACATGGTGACAGAAGTTTTTTTTTGGTGTGTGTTTGTGAATTATCCCTGTAATATTAAGTAACTTAATTAGTCCACCATAATAGTTCCAAATGAAAGCAAAGCAGGATCAATTGTTGCGTCTCGAAGCAATACACAGTACTGGAGTTTAATTTATCCATGTTTTTGAATGTATCAGTTCAGTGAATGATACCTTTTATAATTATCGCATTTATTATTATTATTATTGTTATATTTATTTATTAAACTACATTGTCATTTTACGTTGATAGAATAGTATTACATTTGTATCTTTTTTTTTTGCTGCAGGTAATTCCCATGTTGCCTCGACTTCTGTGTGAGGAGCTGTGCAGCTTGAATCCTCTGACTGATCGACTGACATTCTCTGTTATTTGGAAGCTTTCTCCAGAGGGAAAGGTGTGCCAGATTACGTCTTACACTCTCATTGAAATCAAATCGCAAAACACTAAAATCCTCAGGGCCCTGTGCATTTCTGTGGGTGTCCGCACTCCTTTCTTATTACACTGAAAAAAGCAATAAGTAAAATTTACTTAATTTATCTTTTGCAAGTAAAATGTAAGTATGGAATCTACTTAACTAAGTTATGTAAAATTAGCAAAGGAAATAAGTAAATTTCATGTGGCCAGTTAGAGTTTGATGAATAATTTCTACTTGATTATTTTAAGTTTACTCTGCAGGACTCAAATACATTTGACTCCGTCACGGTTTGTAACCTTTACTCAAACAATGTAGCACTGAAAATAAAAAATGCTGTTAAAGCATGTGGTTCACTTATAAACATGTAAGCAAGCAAGTAGACAGCTTGTTGATATGTCTACTCAGTGTAGTTATTACCCAAATGAACACAAAGACCTCAATATTTGGTACACAATGCACAGTGACAGTAATGGGTCATTTTGAGTAGAAAATGAACTCCAGATGTCACAAAACAGCAAGTTACTAAACCTAACAACATCAATTCAAAAAGATTCAAAAATCAATTTTAAAAAAGTGTGCATCGGATACAAGTTGGCATTTGTATCACAATGCATTGTTTCTAACATATTTGCATCGGTAAAAAACTATTTATGTATATATAATTATTAGTAGATGTGCTATACTATTATTTAGAAAGTGACCAATAATTTGTGACCAAATTTTTATATGTAGATTTCTCCTCTCTAAACGGTTTCTCAAGTGTGTTGTCTCATCACAACACTACGGAGACAGAGGCGTGTCCTGAGAGTCGCATAGAAGATTAACATGGCTGGCTGTCTGAACCAAAGAAATAAAAGTGAACTATCTGTAAAATATTGAATTGCATAGCATCATATTTTTGTGTTAAATTGAATCGAAATCGGATCGCACTACAACGCAATTGGGGCGAATCATATCGCATCATATCGGTAGCTGCTTCGTATGTACAGTGGGGAAAAAACGTATTGTTGGCTATGCATCGAGATGCGTATCGCATCAGCCTCAGTTGTGGAGATGCACATCCCTAGTAAATACATCTCGAAAACAGTGAAAAAATTTGCCTTATTATTCATGCCCAAGTGCATGAAGGGAACAACAGGCTCATGTCATGATATTTACTTAGAGTCTTTGTAAACTTAAACATAATGCCAAATAAAAAATTGCTATACACTGTGTTCCAAATTATTATGCAAGTGACATATCAATTGTATTTCGGTACAATAAAGAGTCAGGTTTTTGTTTGTGTTGTTTTTCACATCTTAAAAAATTTTAGATAACTGGTATCAATCTCAGACAGGTTTGTTCAATAGTTTGCCAGGTCTTCTTAGGTAAATGGAAACCCTACTTAAAGAGGTTGTTCCACATTATTAAGCAAGTCACAGTTCTCATGCAATATGGTGAGGAAGAAAGATCTTTCTGAAAATGAAAAGTATGAAACAATGCAATGTCTTGCAAAAGGCGTATTTTGCAAAAAGCAAATAGAAATTATTGAACTGTCAAAAGATTTGTGAGTGACTTAGAGCACAGAAGATCTTGGTCGGATAAAGATTTATTAAGGAAAGTTTCTGTCAAACAAATGAACTGTATTGTAATGGCAGCTGTAAAAAAAGCAAACAGGTGTTTGAAGCTACTGGAGTCTCAAGATCCTCTCCGTGCAGACTGGCAGTTGTGTGTAAAGCTGCGTTTCAGTCACTGCTAACCAAACCTCACAAAGAGAAACCTGCACAGTGGCTGTAGAAACCCATGAAGACTTGTTTTTAAATAGATTTATTCACTTACGAATGCTGCAGTACAATGGATGGTCCAAATAAATGGATTTCTGATAGTTGATGAATGACCATCCTATTCCAATGAGACTGCAACATCAGCAAAGAGGCGGTGGGTGATGATTTGGGTTGGAATATTGGGAAGTGAGATGTAAGATCATTTTAGGGTGTCAAAATTACTTCTGCAAGATCTGTGGAGTTCATAACTGACCATTTTCTGCTTTTGTATAAAATGAAGAATAGTGCTCTCGGAAATAAAAGGATTTTCATGAAGGACAACACACTATCCCATGCTGCATAAATACCATGGTGCTAAACAGTTTGAAAATGTGTTTCTACAGCCACTGTGCAGGTTTCTCTTTGTGAGGTTTGGTTAGCAGTGACTGAAACGCAGCTTTACACACAACTGCCAGTCTGCATGGAGAGGATCTTGAGACTCCAGTAGCTTCAAACACCTGTCTGCTGCTCAGCAGTGGCTTTTTACAGCTGCCATTACAATACAGTTCATTTGTTTGACAGAAACTTTTCTTAATAAATCTTTATCCGACCAAGATCTTCTGAGCTCTAAGTCACTCACAAATCTTTTGACAGTTGAATAATCTCTATTTGCTTTTCGCAAAATATTATTTGTTTTGATGCCTTTTGCAAGACGACATTGCATTTTCATACTTTTCATCTTCAGAAAGATCTTTCTTCCTCACCATATTGCATGAGAACTGTGACTTGCTTAATAATGTGGAACGACCTCTTTAAGTTGGGTTTCCATTTACCTAAGAAGACCTGGCAAACTATTGAACAAACCTGTCTGAGATTGATACCAGTTATGTAAAAAGATGTGAAAAACAACACAAACAAAAATCTGACTCTTGATTGTACTGAAATATTATTGATGTCACTTGCATAATAATTTGGAACACAGTGTATATACTTATAAGTTCACGCTTTAAATTCTACAAGTTTAAATTGAGTACTAATATAGAATTTTACTCTTTTTGTTTTAATTCTCGCCTGAAATAAATTATTTAATGTAGAAATTACATTTGTTTTTCTGAGGAATTTACTTTACCACAAAATAATTTTTATCAGTGTAGAGGGCCTCCTGTTGTCACAAGACCTGACAGTATTACCATTTGTCCATCTGTGATGACAGCCCTGTCTCAGAATAATCACTTTTCCCCCGTTTCCTTTTTATTTATAGTATTTTTTTTCTCTGTACTCTGTAGATCCTGAGTGAGTGGTTTGGCCGAACTGTTATCTGTTCCTGCATTAAGATGAGTTATGATCATGCTCAGAGTATGATTGAAGCTCCTGACAAGCATTTCAGTGCCGAAGAGCTGCCACCCTGCTCCCCGAACCACAGAATCCATGAGATACAAGAAGCCATTCTTGACTTGCACAACATTGCCAAACAACTCCGAGCCCAGCGCTTTGAGGGCGGAGCTTTACAGCTTAACCAGGTCAGACAGACCAGACTTCAGTCTGGACATTTACTGTACCATCAACGTGTTTCATTTTACTGAAATACACATACTCATCTCTGTGGTCATGCTTTATTGTTCTCTCGTCATACAAAAATGATGCTTTGACATTATTTCCAACAATTTTATTTAGCATATATATATATATATATATCTTATGGGTTTTTTGCAAGTAGATGGATTTTTTTTCCTTTTTCTTTTTTGTTTTTTTGGATGGTGGCTATACATACTGATAGGTTTACTGTAATGTGAGGATGATTTCATTTCTGTGGTTCAGTCTGTAGAATTGCTGAAAGACTAAAGATATATGTTATAATCATGACATTTTTTTTTTTTCCCCACTCACTGCTACTTGTCTATTACCCACACTACCAATGTCTAAAATGAGTATAATTAGAATAGCAAAATATATGGGAGAGCATGGCTGGAGTATACTGTATTCATTTGGTAGCACTTAAATATTAAAGGGGTCATGAACTGCCTTTTTTATTTATTTTTTTATTTTATTTTATTTTTTACTATTATCTGAGGTCCACTTATAAAGTTTTCACAATTTTTACATCAAAAAACATAATTTGGAAGTACTATGATATGGTCTAAATCCTCACTGGAAATCCTCACAGATACCATTTTTCTCTAAGAGAGAACATGGTTGTGAGGAGACTGCCTTTTCTAGTATCTTTGACAGAAAAGGGAGATTTGAGATTGGTCTGTAATTAACACATTCTCCAGGATCAAGTTGTGTTAATTTTTTTATTTTATTTTATTTTTTTAATGAGAGGCTTTATAACAGCCAGTTTTTCAAGGTCTATGACTTTTGGAAGCACCTCTTTTAATACCCTGGATGGTATAGGGTCTAACAAACAGTACATGTTGTTGGTTTAGATGATTTAACAAGTTTATACAGTTCTTCTTGTCCTATAGCAGAGAATGAGTGGAATTGGTCCTCAGGGAATCTATAGGGCACTGTCTGATTCAATACTGTAGCTGACAGCTGCATGGTTATAATTTTCTCTCTAATAGTATCGATCTTGGAAGTAAAGAAGTTCATACTGTTGTATTTTTGGGAAATGCTGCTGATGCTTTATTTTTCATTAATTTAGCCACTATATTGAATAAATACTAGAAGTGCTCCAATTAGGATAAAAACAACCAAGGACACAAATAAGCAGTGAGGAACTCGAAGCTGAACAATACACTGTGAGAAAACATGCTCATGTATGTAAATTTATTAATTATTATTAGTCTTTTTTTGACAGTTCTGCAGCTGTTACCTGGATGAGATTAATTTTTATTTTATTTATTCATTTGCTTAAATTAGGATTACATTAAATCTAAATAATTTAGCATTTTTTAAACTAACATTTCAAATTGTATATGACATGATTATTTATTATTTATATATTTGATTAATATAAATGATAAATTAATATATAGAGTAACATTAATTATAATCTATTAATTCATCTGTCTACTAATGTCTAAAAAATAATAATTATGTCTATCAAGCTCTAACAGACTATCCAAATTTTAATAAAACAATAGGGTTATGCCTTTATGCACAGATGTGTCTGTTACTTTAAAGGTATGGTTCACCCAAAAATGAAAATTCTGTCATAATTTACACAAGTTGTTCTAAACCTGCAAGTTCTTTCTTCTGTTGAACACAAAAGAAAATACTTTGAAGAATGTGGGTAACTAAACAGCTGCTGGTCCTCAGTAACTTCCATAGTAGAGAAAAAATACTATCAGAGTCATTGGGGACCAGAAACTGTTTGGTTACCAACATTCTTCAAAGTATTTTCTATTATGTTCAACAGAAGAAAGAAATTATTACAGGTTTGGAACAACTTGTGGGAGTGTACGCATCATTTTACAATACGGGGCGCTTCCGTATTTTAAGGGACGGGTGGCAACCCTAGTTCCAGTTGATTGGCTACCGATCGCCATCGGTCGATAATTGCTGTGGGACGTTTGATCGGCAGTCTCTATAAAGGCTGTTCTGTCCTCACTAGATGTGTAACTTCTCTATCCAGCTAGACAGACAGTGAACAGGCGAGATGTTGGTTCATGGCTTTTAATCTTCCAGTAGCTTTCATGAATCTTTTCTCGTTTAACTTTAACATTGTAAAACTGTAAACAGACATAGAAAATACAGCAATTAGAATTGTATTCAAATTACATATTCAAAGTGCATAGCTGACTGAGCAGTATTTACTGCCTAAAAGCATTCAAAAGAAACCTTAAATCATTAAACGTTACATTGTCATGTACATCTGGTAATTATATTCTTAATTTTAGGTAATGGCTTGTAATCACGAAATACAAATTAACCTAATAATCATAACAAAAGACCGCTAGCATACGGCGCTACCTAAAGCTCGCACTTTGCACTTTACGTTTTGTTTTTAGTAACATTTGCATCTCTAGATTAATGAATTTACTGTCAAACATCTTTAACCTGCTAAACGTCATATTTATATGACGAATAATAGCGACATACAGCCTTATGTGGGTAACGACTTCACCGTACGAGCCGCTCTTCAGCCATGACACTTCACAATGAACTCAACTCAACACGAGTCACACAGAAGTTACCATACACGATCCTCGCCACAAGAGGGCGCTTAAAGGTCAACATATAACCAAAATCACCTTTCTTTACAATTAAACTGAACCATTACAAAGGCTGATCTCAAAAAGCTGACATGAAGATGACGATGCACCTGCCGTGAAAGGGTGCCGCTGCATGTCATGCCAAACATCCTAAATCTCTGTCTGGCACGAGTAAAATAATTATAATGCTGAAGGTGAGGTACAATTAATATTTCTTCATTAAATAACTTGCAAAGTAATTTTAAAACTTTCAGTGAGAAGTAATTTCACAAATGGCATGAGTGAATCTCACTGTGCACTCTCTCTTTCTTTCCCTCTCAAAATACGCAAATGGCTTCAAATCACCACATCTTGTCTGCACTATAGCAAGCTGCAGGCTGCACAGTTGAAATGGGAATTGTCACTTGCACAATCGAGGCAGTGTCGCATCATCACTAAAGTTTATAATTGACATTTCTTTTTAAAGGGGTCATCGGATGCAAAATTCACTTTACAAGTTGTTTGAACATAAATGTGTGTTGGAAGTGTGTGTACACATCCATCCTATAATGATAAAAATCCACCCAGTGTTTTTTTTCTTTAAATCCCTATTTTATAATCCCCTTTCTCAAATCAGGCTGTTCTGAGATTCCTGTCAGAATGATGTAGTTCTGCACAGGCTGCTCCCACGATAGTTGATTGGCAAGGCCGTCTTACCTTAGACCTGCCCTAAGTGAGCTGCAGTGTTGCCAACTTAGCAATTTTGTTGCTAAATTTAGCAACTTTTCAGATTACCCTAGCAACTTCTTTTCTTCCAAAAGCACCTAGCAACAAATTTTGCAATTTTTTTTTTATTTATTTGGCAACTTTTAATAAGTGACTCAGTGTCGCATCATCACTAAAGTTTATAATTGACATTTCTTTTTAAAGGGGTCATCGGATGCAAAATTCACTTTACAAGTTGTTTGAACATAAATGTGTGTTGGAAGTGTGTGTACACATCCATCCTATAATGATAAAAATCCACCCAGTGTTTTTTTTCTTTAAATCCCTATTTTATAATCCCCTTTCTCAAATCAGGCTGTTCTGAGATTCCTGTCAGAATGATGTAGTTCTGCACAGGCTGCTCCCACGATAGTTGATTGGCAAGGCCGTCTTACCTTAGACCTGCCCTAAGTGAGCTGCAGTGTTGCCAACTTAGCAATTTTGTTGCTAAATTTAGCAACTTTTCAGATTACCCTTGCAACTTCTTTTCTTCCAAAAGCACCTAGCAACAAATTTTGCAAATTTTTTTTTTATTTATTTGGCAACTTTTAATAAGTGACTGACAAAAAAAAAAAGCACATTTTCCATCCAAAATACACAAAAAGAGGAAACCAAAGATGCCTAGCAATAGACATCACGTGAATTAAGTTAGCTGATATTTGGTGTTGTTCAATTTAATAATAATAATAATTTAATAATTGTTCATTTATGATGCACTTTGTTAGTAGCTTCTAGCTTGTACCTGCAATTGTTGAGCAGTTAGCACACTGTAAGAAAAATGGAAAAGATACTAGTAATTTTCCAGGACATTATCCATTGTAACACTGTAACCCGAAAACACAATGTATAATTTAAAATGCTGGTTAAAAAACCAATATGGAAAATTCTTTCATATTAACGTAGTAGATTGTGCCCTATTCTTACAGGCTTTTCTTAGAGTGTAGCATACTAACTAACTACTAGTACACTGCTTAAAGCATAATTGTTGAGAATGTGTAGTATTACTAGTTTACTAGCTATTAAAAAACTTAAATAGTTATTCAAAAATGTGTAAGTGTTCAATAATTCAATATATTTAAAATACAGTTATTTATATTTTAATATTATATTATGCATATTATTTTACAAACAAATCTAAATGAACAAATTTTTTTTTTTTCTGAGATTTGATGATGTGACAATTTTGCGTCGTGATTACGCAATGACGTGATTACGCAGTGACATCATCACGCAATGACATCATACGTCATTTAGCAACTTTTAGCAACAAATCGACCTTCCTTTAGCAACTTTCTCTGAAAATTAGTTGACAACACTGGTGAGCTGTGAGCTGTTCGACATTGTGTCGACTCCGGTACAGGCGATTGAGGTGTTTTGTTGTTGGATGTAATAATGAATAAAGCAGTCGTCATTTACTCCCGACATCTGAGCCGCTGAAGACGCAGAGGATTAACGTTACTTTCGTTTTTGAAGGGAATGCGTCTGTTCGCGCGAATCATTCGTGATCCAGCTTCGTCTACAGAAGAAGTCCAAAAAGAATCTATTCCGAGGCTTTGGGAATCGATCCCATCAAGGGGAATCGACTCCTCATTCAGAGCCATTTTCAGTTCAACATAGCACCCTCCGGAGGTCGCATTCGAAGGCTGCATATGTCATTGAGGCTGTCTCATTTCAGAAAAGCA